CCCCTTCATCCCGTTGGTCTCAGGGCAGTGCTGGGCAGTGCTTGGAGATGGAGTTGTTTTCTGAAAGACTTATGGGCACAAACTGGGGTGAGATGTGGCCCTATGGGGACAACCCCATGGAAAGCACGCAGGGTTGGGGTTGGATCCTTGAGCTCTTTTGCAAAGCCTTTCTGGTTCTGATTGCATTCAATCAGTGCATCCATCTAAAACCACATTTTGTATATGATTGGACATGATCTATATTGCTTCTATCCCCCCTGTCCACCCCTTGGTTTCAGAACAGAGAGTCTCTTGCAGAAGGGAATTCCTCTCATTGGGTGTTGCGTTGGGATTGTTGGATGATCACCCAAACCCCAGTGCAAAGCCCCAACCTCACTTTGGGCAGAAAGAGTGTGCTTTCTGCTCAGAAGAGCTTTGGTTTCCTGTGCAGTGGATGTGGTTGGGATCTGGTCACTCACCCCACACGCTGAGCCCCACCAGCAGCAGCAGCAGCAGCAGCAGCACCCCCAGCACACTGACTTTCTGGAAGTCCCATGGAACTGCAAGAGCCCACACAATTATATAAATCAGACATTTTGGAAAACCTTTTCCATTTACAAAAAACAATTACTCTGTGAAGGAGCCCCTCCACCAACCTGTAACAGAAGTTGATGGCTGCTTTGTTTCCACTACAATTTGGTGACCCTTCCCATTGATTCCCATGTTGTGTGTGAGCAGAAGTTGATGGATGCTTGCTTTCCTCCAGTTCTGGGGTCCCATGACCCTTCCCTGTTTCTCCCAGTGGTTCCCAGCTGGGAAGGAGGTGGTACAGAGGGGTGACAGCAGCAGAGCACACGGGATGGGCTCCCATTGGAGGTCGGGTGGGCACAGGGACATCACCTCCACGTGTGGTTTTGGAGGTGATGGAGGCCCTCAGGTCCCATAGAGCATGGGCTGGAAGCTGAGCTGCCCCTTGTGAACCGAGCCCGGTGTGGGGCAGCTGGTGGCTGGGAGGGCTGTGATCTCTGCAGCCATCGTGCCACGTGGATCCAGGATGCGTCTGCCACCATTTCATGCACTGCCTTCCATTTTCTCACATTGGGTTTCCCCATTAGGGCTGATTTTTGCTCAAAACCATCGCACCTCTGGCCATTCTCAGCCTTCCTTCTCCCCCATCCCTGCCTTTTCTCCCCTGTACAAGCCTGGATCAACCCAGAATCCAACAAACATTTCTGGTGTTTCTCAGAGTAACAGAGAGAAAAAACAAACCCCCAAACGAAGCCTGCAATGAGCATCCCTTACCGTGCTGCTGCTTAGCAGGAGTCAGACTGCCTGTAGGCTGCCTTAAATCAGCATAAGT